AAAAAAGTTTCATTAATCAATTTTATATTTCCTTATATTTTTCCCGTCGCAAGAGACGTGAACAAATCTGAATGATTTTTCCATGTTACGGCATACATGTATACTAGAATTACAGTCCAACATATATTGTCTTTAGAAATAAATGTGTATCCCAACGTATGTCAAAATTTTAGCGTTATACATGCGTATCTAATGAATTGATCTAATTGACGAAAAATATGTGCTACGACCACTTGACCATATTTTCAATTCCAACTCTTTAAAAATATAAAATGAATCTCATCATACTCTTCATCAGAAATCACGTCTTTGCATTTCATCTTTAAGCCGATGACAATAACTGCAGATATTGTCAAAGCGACAAAATAAGTCGTAGAAGACACAATAATTTTGTCGCTGACGACACATTTTGTCGACGTCGCTGACGACATGAAACTTCAATATGTCGTTTTTTATTAGATTTTTTTTATCCTTCAAAGTCCTGATAACAGGATAAAAGCAGAGCACATATCTTAGGAATTTCGACAGAATCGTTATGTCATCAGTGAGATGACACACTGACTGACAATACATGTACCATAATCAGCATATCGGTTAGGACATATACAAAAAATGCAATATATAAAATTGGACATAAAACAGCTTTAAATAAAAAGACCCGCCTCACATCAAACAACAATGTAGATTTTTTTTAACATTATAAAACATAAATCCATGCAAACATGCAGCTATAGTTTATTTTCTGTAAGGGCTCGCGACAGTAAACATCGACACCGACTTTAGGTTTTTGATTTGATTCTAGCTGTCTATTTCTGAGGATTGACGAAAATATCTATAGTTACAATGTATATATAAAAAAGGTACACTAATATCAGTACTAGTCTCGCCAGAATACCATTCAATAAATAAGTAATCTCAAGTGTTTAGAAACCTAAAAATTTTGAAAAAAAAATTAAGTTTAATCAAATTGCAAAACCTATCTTTGAGTTAGGAACAAAGAATAGCCCCAAATTAAAACCTTTTATTTCATATCGAAGCTTACAGAAAGATTTGTCATCAAATTAAAATAAACATACTCTTTTTATTGCAATTTTTAATTAACTCGGTGGTCATGACCTTTCAAGTACATGTAGGAAATTAAAAATTTTAAGTGCTAGAGTAACCTTGTAAATAAATACGTTTGTAAACCGTATAGTATACTGTTTAAACAAATCTCAAAGATAGGGTGTAAATGCTGTTACAGTAGCTTTATCGACTCTTAACTAAACACCCAAACTCAATAAATTGGTGCAATTCAAGATATTTTTTCTTCAAAAATCGACTTTAGATTATCCATCTGCTAATAACATTTTCGGATAGATCAACATATCAAGTTTGTATTCCCAAAGATTTTTCAAGTTAAGTTCATTGGTTAAGAAATTACGTCAATTTGAAATAAAGGTGTATTGTTGATCATTATTTGCTGAGAAACAAGCGTTACGTATCATATAATAGTTTTCCTTTAAGATTTTAGAATGAAATAATATAGATTGTAATAAATCCTCAATGTCAAAAGCAAATCAGTCTATTTACTTTCGTGATAGGACAAAAAAGCTCAACTGTCATAATGTATTTTATGAATTGATGCAGTCAAATTGTCGTATTATATTTTTTCTTCAAAGAATTTGACATATCTCTAAAATTTTATATTTCAAATATGCCTCAAGAAAAATCAAAACTGCCTCGCGCAAATGGGGGTTCTAAATGAATAGAGGATCCATTTATAGAAACGTTAAATAAAATGTTGTTCATGAATTGTGATCTTGTTCTTATTTACACTTTCAAATGCAACAACGTTCCTATGTAACGAATGTTTCATATGAAGTAATATTTACTGTTTTTAAGATTAATTCCAACAAAATGGACCAATTCATGAGATGTAATTTCTGCTCTACTTGTGCCATTATATTGAAAATGTCAAAAGAAATCGTAATTTGAACTGCATCATATATATCATCGTGTCATATTTTCCTTGAACTGTACTATATGTACAAACGGATAAGAGATATATGTAAAATTGTCTGTATAGACGTTTTAACAGAACCTAAAATAATGTAAATAACAATTTTTCTGATGACTTTTAGCTTGAAATCATTTAACCATCAATGGAAACTTCCTTCGTATTTCTGCTTGGGTCAATGCCATAGTTCAACTAAAATAAAATTCTGAAACGTACGTTACTTAACATAAAATGCGTGTTTAACAGTATCAAAATTATGAGAGAAACAAAAAACCCTAATGTAGATTCAGAATAGAAACTCAAGCCTTTGTTTAATCAATATCATACGATTCAATCTAAAAATGTCTTTCAAAAAAATTTCGATTAATGTTTTTCTTCAGAATTAATGTGTGTGTTCAATAATGCGTCTCTAGAATCAGTTTATATTAAAATTTATGCAACTTAAGCTTAAAATGATACAAATCAATCAAAAGTTTACATTCGAACAATTAGTCATGAAAGAAATTCTGTAAATATTGTTGCAGTTTTGATATATGATTTGTTAAAAATTTCGTAACATTCGTTACCTTCGGTAACGAATGTTTCAACACCTTTCAGGACTAATAGAGGACATTCAGGTGCAGATTGATACTGGTTGCGTAGTTGTTGTCGGTCGTTATATAAATATTAACAGTTACATACTAATTCATTCCATTTGATTCATTGTTATTGCATTCTAGAAAACAAACTCACCAACACTGCCTAGACTTCAGAAGAAAATCATAAAAGGGCAGTACCGTACTCCGGATGTCAAAATTTGAATACTGGCGCAAAATATTTGACTACGTATATGTGCAGAAGATGTTTGAACTCATAAAACATTCTTTTTTAAGAGGTTTGGTAACGAATGTTTCGGTAACGGTTGTTTCATTTAATCATTTTCTCTTAAATTGTAAGCTAACAATAAGACATTGTTAAATCATGGTTGGAGCATGGAATACAGTTGTTGGATAGAAGAAAAAGTATCACATGTTTAACTATGATATCATTCTATTTCATCTATTAAACTAATACAACGAATGTTTCATGCCTATCCATACGCATGTAAAATACGAAGATAGAATGTAATTTCAAAAAATTGGTAACATATACAAGGCTTTGTACCATTTATTTTTAATTTTCAATAAGTTTCCTTCAAAATAAAACGTATTCCAATCTTACAGGCATACAATACCGAATACTCATATTATATTTCATGTCACAGTCCGTTTTTATTCTGTTTCTGGCGACATGGGGATATCAAATCAAAGTTTGGTAATATATTTGTGATTATGCTCAATAATTTATTAAAAGCATTTTACAAATAAATGTTTTGAAGACATATGCTATCTAATTTAAGATTCAACTGTTATTTGTACAAAAAATAGCCATTTAAGTGTAATTATTCGATGCTGGCGACAGTTACGTACGTTTCAAAAAATCACTTTATGCCAAATAAAATATCTCAATATGATTTGTTCACTTCATTTTTGTATTTTTGCCTTAAAGGTTACATATTCATGCATTCATTCAAAAAGTATTTTCTTTGACATTTCATTATTTTTTTACCGTTAACCCCCAGCGACATCATTTGTACCATTTTATTGAGCTTGAGTGTAAAGTAAATTCGAGGAAATCTAGAAATAATTAATTCCATTACCGACACGATTAGGTTCGCTCTCAACAATGGATCCTAATATTCAAGAGAACGTATGGACCGAGGTTTGTGTATTGGATTCATACACTTATATATGTGCTTAGAACTACAGGTGTGTGAATGGTTCTTGAACCGATCAATTTCCAGCATAAGATTTTTATGCAACGCACTTCCACTTAACAGTAATCTCGATCAACCAAAACGACTGCTACGACTTTCTCTGCGTACAAATAATATACTTTCTGACGATGAAATAGCTAGGAGACCCGTAGAACTTGGAAAACCGGGGGGAGCCCCCTCCCCCCCCCCCCCCCCCCAACTTTTTTTCTGAGAATAGTATTTTGCTACGGTAAATTTTCCTTTAGATGCTGGTTGCACCCCCCCCCCCCTTTTGTCGCTGTAAGGTCGAGCACTTGCAAATTTCAGGATTTCGGACACTTAATTAGTTTTCTTTTTTTCTTGTCAGATTATTTTGGGAAGATGTCCTCCCTTTTTTGGTCAGTTCAGGGTTTTTTTTGTTTGTCAGATATTTGGAAAGTTGGTCCCCCCACTTTTGAAACCGTTGCTACGGGCCTGTTAGGTTGTGGCCAGAGGAGCCTGATTGTTCTAGACTTACTCCATTTAAGTATGTGTGCTGTATGGCACAAATGCTTCGTGGCAGTTCATGTCTAATCCTTGGGTGTACATGGATTACAGGTCTACTCCTTGGGAGTACCTGATTTATAGTTTAACTCCCTGGGTGTTGATGCGCAAATGACTATGGGGAATGTACAGGTATACGTGTTACAACCCTACTTCCTGTAAGTACATCAACCAGAATTCAACTTCCTGGGATTATATGGTCCGCAGCGTCTTTTCCTTGGGAGTACAATGATTTCAGGGCTACACACGGATTACTCCCTGGGAGTACACAGACTACAAGGTTTTATCCTTGTAAGTAGGGGAACAAAAAGTCAACTCCCTGGGATTACATAAACCAAATCACAGGCCTTCAGATCGCTTTGATCCGACAGATATGTATTAAAAAAATACAATTCATGCCTTTCAGATCAAAGCGATCTGAAGGCCTGCGGACTATATATATAGACTACTGATGCGCAACTCAGTGGGAGTACATGGCTATAAGCAAATGTCCATTTGATGGAGGTAAATGGACTTTTGGTCCTATATTTCCTGATGAAAGAAGTCTGAAGCGTCTATCTCTTCCACAGTACATGTATATTGGCTAACTCATGAAATTCGTGTAAATCAGTGTCTAACCCACCCATATATGCTAATAATTTGTCAATAATCCCACCTAACCCATTCCCTGAAATGACCACATACCTCTAGGGCCAGGACTCCAAGATCTGGAGTGGAGAAAATCGTTTCCAGGAAGTGGAGCGCCTCCTCTTCATCCGTTGCGCGGGTAGCTCCACTCATTGTCTGTTGTACCATTGGTAAACGTTTAGGGCATGGCACCAGATGCTTAAATTATAAAGAATTACTTCTATCTGAGAATAACCTCCAGGAAGTTTCAGATACAATTACGTATACCAAACAATGAAGATCAAATATTCAGGTAGTTTCCGTAATGGCAATTTTTATGTAACATTCCAAGAGTTTCAAGAACAGAGATTTTAAATATGAAGAAAAATAAACTCAAACTCGCGATGCATTAAAGTAGTTGGACTGGACACTCTAATAATCAAAATACGTTGTATACGTAGGCCTCGTACACTTGTATTCTGTTAGAAATTTTGAATGCTAATCATATATATATATATATATATATATATATATATATATATATATATATATATATATATATATATATATATATATATATATATATATATATATATAAACTTCTTTTCATGAAAACTAAGCCTTATCATTGTTTAGAAATCGTAAAAATACTTCCTTTTTTTCATCTTTGAAAAGTATATATATTTAAGATTTAAAACGAAATTTACACACTTCCTCTACTACTTTTCAGGTTGCTTCCAGACTTTTTTTTTAGAATGGGGTTTACAGACATTAGTGCAAGGGGGTTGCATATCTCAATAAAAAAAAATATATTTAGCGCGTGTGCATCGAGAGTTTCAAAAATAATCCGTATTTTACTATTTATTATTCCATATATAACTGTAATACTGACAAATACATGATGCATCTCTGTGTAAGAGATATTACTGAAGATTGTACTTTAAAAGGGGACGTATAGGGAGGGGGTATTAGAAACCTTGGCGACAGAATTTTTTGAAACATTAATTGATTATACACGTACATCAATACAATGCTTTCAATTTGATAAATTAAATGATGCAGCTTAAAATTTATTAAAAAATAATCAGAGGAACGCTTCTTAAATTGACATTTTGTTAACTAGGCTATTGTTATTTGATATGCTGGCATTAATTCATATGCAAAAATAAGCTTATCGTCAGGCAGACGGGGGTGATCCCGTTATGAAGTAAACTTTAGATTTCTATGACTTGCAATACTGTGTATAATTTCATTTACAAATACTAATACAGGTAAGCATTTTTCCACGTGCTTCCTACATTCTTGAGTGCATCTAAAATAAAAGCGCACGTCCAGCCAGGGACCTCTGGTCCAGCATAGCTTTACATTGTACAACATGCACAATGCAACTCTGCTTCGCATGCAATAGACATAATTTCACTTTGGAAAGAACATGTGCAATATTTCCATCCCCTATAATTCCTCAAAATTCATAAATGTGATAATTGTTTTAATATTTTTAATTAATTGTTCTGCAGCTGGATAATGAAAGTTCTTACCTCTCTCTGCAATATGTGACTTTCTGTTTTAAAATTTACACATGCGTTTTATTATCTTAATAAGTAAACATACTAGGCCTATTACAACACCGCAACAGAAAATACTCAGAATTGAAAGCTTTTTCCACGAATTAAGATTCAAATCTATATTGAGATGTTTCCACGAAATTCACTGAACCATGAATTCCCATTAAAACAGTTATAAATCGAAAACGAAAGCAGGCCATCTGTCCAGAAAATACCATATTCGATAAGGTCGCTTCAAATTCATGAAAGCCTACCCTCTGTATGCAACCAAGTCTTCTCAATGCTGCTGGCATCTTTAATCGATAAATAAACAGAAGAAAATGTTTGTTAAACATTTGTATTTATTCCCTATCATGAATTTCCGTTATTTATCTTGACCCCTACATCAGTGCATGCTAAGTCGACATTAGAATTTTCGACTCCATCATAAATAAGGAAGAAAATTGTTGTTAGAATTAAGATCACATTCATAAACTCTCTGAACTTTTAAAAAAAAAATTGAAAAGAAAACGGGGTTCTGTCTTTCAAAAAAAAATCTAGCTAATTTCGACTAGTAAATAGTACGAGTTACTGTTTTTCTTAATGCTTATATCAAATTAAAAATGTTTTAACTTTTTCTACCTAATGATACTTAAGATTTGTTATATTCTTACATTCTGAAATTAAAAAAAATTAAGAAATATTATGCAATATTTGATTTGTTTTATGTTTAAAACAATATTTGGTTTTGTATTTTTTTTTGCATGACAGCAAGTGGCCTTTTTCACATGTATCGTGAAAAATGACATTATGCAAAAGTTGCCTAACATTGCTCCATCGAGCTAGAAAAAGTGTTTTTCCTATTCGTAATGTCTCCAGAATTTCTTCATCATCCTTTGATGACTGGAATAAAGCTGTGTCGGACGCGGAGAAAATTGTTGGGTATCCAACGTCATTCATGAGCCTTCGCTGTTTGATCAGTGACGAGTTTTCCAATGTTGCCATGCACTTGAGAAAATTAGTCGGCACACGTCATCCACTTTTAAAGACTGCTAGGTATATATATAGCTTGAAAACAACTATTCATTTGAATATATAGAATCGACTTCAGAACTGTAACTTTCTGGTTGAGGGCCCCCTGGTTGAGAAAATTCGGACAGACAAACCAGAGAGCTACAGATCCAAGGATTTACGGTCACTTCGTACACAAGCCGATTCGCATGCAGACCTACTCGTAAACAAGAAGTCATCTCCAAAACAAAAGTCAGTTGTGTATTTATCACTGGATACCTGTTCACTTTATAGATGTCTCTTCAAACAGGCTTTCCGCACAAAACAATTGGAATTCTAGACTATGATGTCAAATAACATATCATATGTTAGTTTTTAGTAGTAGTTATCCCATAACAAAGTCTGAAAAGTACAATTTTTAAACAAAGATTGTTTAATCTACTATTTACAATAACCATAAATTAGTGTGAGTTTATTCTTTGGTGAACTTTGTTTTAAAACAAAAATGTAGTTTGTGGCATGATGAAATTTGCAAAGGAATACAAACCAAAAGGTAACTGAGGAAAGAATTCTATTGGATCAATATGCACAGTCCAAGTTTTTCTCTTTGCCCTGGCATTGCTTTTAAGAGCTCACAGTGCTGCTTGATCTTCTCACTATAAATAGACAGTTAACCCAAAACTTAATATTGTTTGTTGTCATGATGAGGAGAATGATGTTCAAAGAAGAAAAAAAAACATATTAGTCAAATCAATGCTATAAGATTTAACTCACATTGCCGAAATAAAATTTAGGACAAGTGCAAGGTTGAACATGAGAATAAATTCTTTTCATCAAGATGTATCTATTAATCAATATGGAGCCAGTGCATGTATACAGACAAACACTCACTTTCACAGGGTTCGACACTAACTTTTTAAGGCTTTAGTCCAGCCGGACTAGTGCTTCATCACTTTTACTAGTCCACATGCGATTTTATTAGTCCGTCAAAATAAAAAAAGAAACATCATTGTTTTTTTTAACATTAATTAAACATGACAATTAATATACGTATTATTTTTTGAAATAAACAAAGTATTTACGTGAAATATATTATTCCACGGATTCATTGAAATCTCGCAATCAGCAAGTACGATCGTATTCCTGATTTTGTTTTTTGTTTTTTTTTTCCTTTACATTACATCCAAAATGTCCAACATCTTTCTTAAAAGTGTCATACTAAATCATGATCGCTAAAACCTTATACTTCATACCGATCAGTCGAAAAATTAAGCACTGAATTGACCCGGTATTGCGTAACTACCAGCCAAAAGCTAGAAATCTAAAAATACACGCGGGGTTTTCCAGTAAAAGTCGGACATTAGTAATTTATTCATATTGTTTTACATAAATTTTTATTGGTCCGTTCGGACTAATTAGCCACATATTTTATTAGTCCGAATGAAAATGTATTAGTCTGAGACTAACGGACTAACGTTAGTGTCGAACCCTGCTTTCAGATATGTAGAAGGAGTGACAAAGAGGGGAAAAAAATGCAAACGAGAGGAAAACGCAAGGGAGAAAATATGAGCAACCAAAATGCAATGCCAACAATGCATTGTAGTGGCAAATTGAAGGTTACAAAATGCAAGGCGTAGGAGGGAGGCATTTGAAGATGATATTGTTCATTACCCTCAGAACTTCTCTCACTTGTTCTTGCTCCATTGTATTGTTGCCCCCTCTTTATTTCACATTACATTGTCATCCTCTTTCAAGTTATTTTCTATCCTGCATTCTTGCTTCCTTCCTTATGGTGAGGAAGCAAGTGGCTCCTCTCAATAAACAAAATATTTATTTTTTGCTTGAATTGTATTAAAAGCTAGAAAATCCAAAGCCAATAACTTAATTACTTCACTATATTCGTAAATAGTACATGTACAAGTTTATATTCTTATTCATTAATTTTTGATGGAGTATTTGTCCCTGTTTATGTGTGGCATCAAACTTGATTTGTCTAAACTAATTTGTGTGTTACCTTTGGTATCAGACCACTGAAATAATCAATCCCTCTGAAACTAGGATCGATAGTTTTTAAACAATATTAAGGTGTTGTTAACAGTATTGTTACACATAAGGAGACTTTTTAAGTTTTGCAAATTTGATAATGTTGATTCTGATTTGACTTTTATAGCAATAACAGCACATGTAGATACCTGTGCAATTTTTTTTTGCTTGAGAAGAGTATTTATAGTGAATGTCTCTACTTTTCAGAGGTTTGTTGTATGATGGCAAACAGAACACACAAACAAGGGGGTTGATTGTCCTTCTCATTGCTAAAGCAGCAGGTCCAGGGCCAACAGAACAAAGTCAAGATAGAGCACAAGACAAAATCAGTGGGATATATTCTAGGTAAACAGTTATGCATGGACTAATACTTTTAAACTAAAGTTTGTAGTGATGTAGTGATCTGTAAGGGATAATTTAAGAAATGTGATGGTTTGCTTCTCTTTTTCCTGTTGATGACTTGTTTATATTTACAAGTGTATGGAACTTTTGAAAGGCTGTCATTGACTTGTTCTACATTTTAGGATTTTGTCACTTTTCAGGTCTGGACAGTTTTCCTAGATTGATCGAAAAAAACAAACAAACCGCTATTTAATATACTTTGTTATGTAAACAAGTTAATGTTTTTTTTCTGACCATTTTAAAAACATTTTCACACAGCAGTGGATAGATGTGAAATAATAGAAAACACAAAGTTCTGCATTTTCCTCAAAAAGATTTTTGTCAGCACAAAATATTTAGGCATTCCTCACATATTTTCTTTGAACAATCTCACACATTCATAATGATTTCAGATACTGGTATGTATAACCTAGCTGTTTGCATGAATTTCAATAAATGACATAATGTCTTCATGCCAATCTACCACTTACAAGTGATATGTCTAAATGCTACTACTAGTATCCAAATTGGTCTAAAGGATGAGCACCTTGTTTTTTTTTTGTGTATTTATAATGTTCAATTTTCAATTATATATTCTTGACTTCCATATAGAGAAATTGTTGTGACCTGTATAAGGAAGCATATTTGGTTATCAAGAGTTATCCTCCTTTGCTATCGACTCTTTACACAAACAGGGCAAAGAATTTTAATAAGCTTGTGTTGATTTTCTCATATTTTGATAGCCAAAGGTCCCTTGCAGAGGTCACAGAAATGATTTACACAGCTAACCTCATACATAAAGGAGTGGTCAATCTGGCAGATTATGTAGACAGTGACTACAGGGAGAAAAAGGACATGGAATTTGGAAATAAAATGGCTGTACTCAGTGGGGACTTTTTGCTGGCTAATGCTTGCACAGAACTAGCCAGTCTTAATAACACAAAAGTAAGAACTGGTGATGAAACTGTAATGTCTTGGTATACTTTAGTTTTTTCCAAGCTGCCTTCATAGTCAATGTACATGAAAAAAATTATTTTTAAAGTAAATTTCTAATTTTTGAACATTTTTTTTTACATGTAATATATGTATTTAAGTAATTGAAGAAATTACCTTTTAATTCTTTTTCTTCCTGCAAGAGAAAAATATCAAATGATACTTTATTATAAATAGGTTGTTGAAACAATGTCATTGGCCATCACAGAGCTAATGGAAGCAGAATTCACAGACCTGAGAGATCCTGGAGGGGAGTGTGTATTGAAGTCAGAGATCCAGTTTTCTGATTGGGTAAGACAGACATATTTGTCATCAGGAAGCCTGTTAGAGAGGAGTTGCCGATCTGCGGTGGAGCTTGCTGATCACAGGGAAGACCAAAAAGAGGCTGCAGCCTCATTTGGAGAAAATATGGCTTACCTAAAACAGGTGAATACAGTAATGTATCATTGGAAAACTTAGGGTTTCAGTGCAATCAAAATTGCTGTAGATAAATGTACAACCACTAGCAAGTGTAATGATGGTATTACAATCATGAGGAATGTGTTTGATGAACTACATTGACTGTAAATAAAAATATTGAAAGACAATCACTAAAACTGTACATGCATGTACTTTCTTAAAGAAAGAAATTTACCTTCATTTAAACATCATTTTCCCCATTACAATGAAAATTTAGTGAAACAATATTTTTAGAGCAAATATACATCATGAATCAAAATCATAATTTGGTAGAAAAATGTTAAATGTTTTTATAAATGTTTACTTTCCCTATCTGCCAAATTAAAATCTTAAACTCTTACTATGGATTTTTTGGCAGATGAAGAATGATCTCAAGCCATTTGTGAGTGAAGACAATAATATGGAGGACTTCAGTATTACATCAGCTCCGGTCATCAAATACCTTGAACAAAATCCAGAGAAAAGAGACACAGTAATGTCATTACAAACCAAAGACTTAAGACAGGTAAGTGAAGAGTTCAGTAGAATTATTTGAAGATGTGGGGAAGGGGGCAAGGGAGACAGAGGGAGGATTGGAATCATACACACATCTCTGTTGGTTAATATAAGACTTAAGAAAATCAAGTGGTATGCACAGAGTGGCTTTGGAACACAGACAAAAGTGATCCATTCAGCCTTCTCTCTCTCTCTCTCTCTATATATATATATCTGTATATATAGCTTACACTTAAAATGAAACATGTAGGTTAATAGCTGATTCACAGTTGATACATTTGTTAGTTATTTGTATCCTCTTTTATTTTGCTGTTTAAGTCAATTATTTGTCTGACTTTTGTAGATTGTGTCCACCATTAAGTCATCTGATGTGATAGCCGAGTGTCTTAGTTTATGTGATAAGTATGGTGACAATGCTTTGAAGGCTTTAGATGTGTTTCCACAGACTGATGCCAAAACAGCCTTAATCAACATTGTTAATGCCACAATAAAATCCTGACACGTACTTAAAAATTCAGCTGAAAGTATCTGGTTTTGAATTAAGTGATCCTTGGGGTCTTTAGATACAATTGTTCACAATGGCAGATAATATACATGTGTTAAATAAATTGTGTTGATTTTGGATGTTAGATGATATTATTTTGAATAGTTTTTTCAGTATTCTACCATGCCAACAAAACAAATACGAAGGGAACAGAATCATAGTTATGAATACTTCATGTTAAAAAAAAAAATTCAACACCAATTCATTTTCAAAATAGCAATTTCTCAATAGTTTAATAATAACCAGCCTGCATGTTTTCTTTTGATATTTCTGATTGAATTATGTAAAGATTTTGTTCACATTGCAATCTCAGCAGACTATGGTGCAGTTTGTTACTCTGTGTAAATTTTGAAGGAATATAATAATTAAAATATCTATTACTTTCATGAAAGTCATAATCTAAGCTCAGAGATTGACACAATCTTTTGTAAGGGTTTGTTAAGATGGGGGAAAAGGCTGTTGAGAAATGCACCCACACACACATCCGTTTTATTCAATTTCAGGTAAATGAAGTAAGTTTTATATTAAGAAAACCCACTGAATCCAATTCTTCAATTGAGACCTTTGCATTGAACAATGCATGGTTGTGACCAGCAAAATCTTCACTGAAATGATGGATCATATCACTTAAAATAGAAAACGGTTCATTCATACATTATGTACATGATAAACATGACATAAAAGAAAAATGTGATCCGATAGGACCTGGGTATTTTTTATAATTATCAAATATCTCCTATAAAGGGGCATATTTCAGCCCCCTCTGTGCAAGTTATTTTTCTGTAGATTATGTCAACATGCAAGATGCAACATAAACATGTCAACAAAATGCAACATCACTAAGTTGACATGCAAGATAAATGTAGTCAATTAAGAATTTTCCAAAATTATCAAATATTGCCCAAGTTACAATATGGCTGACATTTGATAATTTTTGAAAATTTTCCAAATTCTTTTTTCATGCATTCCTTCATATAAGGAAGCAGAAAGGTCTCCACACTTATTGTGTTATAACTTGTACATTGCCTTATTTGTTATTATCTTATCAACATTTAAAGTGTTATAACTCCATATTTATACATATATTTTGCATTTTATCTACGGGTGTTTGAACATAATTATTTAAGACACATAACTTCTTTTATTTGATTGATTCAGATAAATTATATCGACTTAAAAAAAATATTGATTTATAAATTTTTATCAAAGCAAGTGATTTAAGCATATCGATATAATAAAGTCGATAATTAATAATAAATAATTTATATAGTTCTATCGATATAAATGTATTAACATTTTTGGAGATAGTGAGAAAATACTGTTATTGAATTGAATTCGCGGGAGCGGGGATTCGAATAAAGCGCCACTTCATTCGGGACTTAGAGACAACGCCTGTACCCTGTGTTTGCTATATATGTATACGATTATAGTATGTTACATATATTATTTTGAGATTCAAAAATGTTTCGAAGAAGGGAAATTGGGAGACATAAGCAGTTAGGTCATAGGCGCACATGTAGTCTTAGGGGCTACTGTCCCCACTACCACTTTTGAAAGGGGGTGGGGGGGGGTGGGGTAGGGGGCAAGAGTATCTTGGTCCCCCTCCTCCAGCTCTTTTGATCTGAGTAGTTCCACATGTAATATATCCCAAAAATAATGAAGAATAATCATAGTTGGACTTTAACAAAAAATTTCATGACTGCTGTATACCGTATAACGGGTATTTTCTGCGGTTGGAAATTTTTGCGATTTAACCCCCTTAAAGGTAGCAAATTAATTTCTGCGTTTTCAATTTCTGCGGTTGCACTATACCGCAAAAAATTATTTACGGTGTATGATCATGCACTAAACTTTATGAATTATCAGAACGCTGTCATGTTTACGTTCATAAATTCATTAATTGATCAAAGGTGCATGAAAACTGGTATTGAGCTATTATGCTTAATTAAACTACTATCTTTTAGTTAGTTTTTGTAAAAATATTTTGAGCACCAATTGAAATGAATTTATGCAGTGTCAGTCCACCCAAACAACAATAGAAATCTTTATTCTAGCAGACGTGTTATGCGATCTATTAAAATACTAGTATTTAAATATATGTAGATAATGATAATAAATACATCCAAGCCATATTCTAAAATACATTTCTAATTAACTGCCATCAAAATTAATTTGGTGTTTATATTTTAAGCTAAAACAAACAGTTGCATAATGAATTACCCTAAAGTTGACTGTTAACAATCACAGGTGTCATGTGCATTGAGGCGTAACTAATCCTGTCAGTCTTATGCATTAGGTGAAATTCACGAGGCAATCGAGCCAAATTGTGTATACAAGCAGTAATTATTGTATCAATATTAAAAAACACAAGGTTACAGTAATTATTGTTTCAATGTAAAACACAAGATTAAAAAAAAGTGTTTAAAAAAGAAAAGCTACCATGTGTCGTTTGCAGCTATCGGAGTTTGGACTAATAATTGCGAAATAGGTACAAGTAAAGACGTTTTTGTATCAACTTATTTCATTGATATTATTTACAGGAATTTCGATGACACCCGAATTTTCTCGCTAGCGAGGATATGGCCACTCATGAGTCTGCAGACGCATCGATTCTAAAAACCTTGCGTTCCAAATAATTTTGCTGTTTCCAGTACGCAGGTTCTTGCGTTAATGAGAACCCTGTCAGACAAACGCACCACTTATCATAATTGCATGTACAAAATATCTGAATGAATATTGAAAAAATATTTTGCGATTGTAATTTTTGCGGATTTGTCCTATCCGCAAAATTCCCCCAAAATTGTACAACGGCAGAAAATACCCGTTATACGGTATATCCTAGGCATATATATATATATATATATATATATATATATATATATATATATATATATATATATATATATATATATATATATATCTCACTTCCTGTATCTCACTTCCATTCTCAATGACCATGTAGTGTAGGGCAGCGCCGCGAGAATTCCATCGGCATCGAAAGCAAGTTTTTTGACTTGCCTAGATAGCCGAGCGGTCTAGCGCGCTGTTCCTGTACCGCTAGGAGACAGATTCCGTAGGTCGAGAGTTCAACCCCGGACTGGGGCTGAAGTGGGTATCCTTATAAAAGTGAATTTCTTTGTGCTTTCTATATTAATATTTCTTCACTTAGGGCAGTTATGTTAGTTTAAGAGTTGTTGTAAAATTGCTTTATATATATATATATATATATATATATATATATATATATATATACACGAGAATGAAAATTTCGCGAGTAGACTATCTCGTGTTATTCGCGAAAATTAAGCTTGCGAATAAAAAGTGATTTACAGTATTAAGAAGTTAGATCTGATCTGCTGATATTGACATTTTATCTGATAGTCTGTCAAGATTCACTTTAAAAAAAAATATTTTTTTGACTGGGGAAGGGGTGGGGGTTTGTGTGAAGAGAGCGTTGGTTCATGTCTATGTGGTGGATCCTTTGTGACACGTACAGAGTTTTACATAGCAATTATATTTTTTTTAATGTTGTTACTTCGATGCATCCATGGATAGACCTAATACTCCATATATTTATGAATAGAACATTGAAAACGTTGGGGGTGGGGTGCTGTTAATTATTTTCTCATCATACTATTATTTATATTTTGCAAGCACATAATTTTTATTTCAACAAGATGTGTTTGTGAAACACTGATGCCCCCGTATGGCAACATATAGCGAAGGTTAACCTTTCTCAAATGCAAAACAAATATGTTGGTACCCAAAGTAAGGTCTTGTACCGAGGAATATACCTGTGAAATATGAAAGCCCTAGCAGCAAACATTGAAAAGATATGGAAAAGATTAAAGTTTTTCAAAAGTAAGTCAAACATCAAGGTCAAGGTCAAAATTAATGGTGCCCAAGGAAAGGCCTTCTCACAAGAAATACACATGTGAAATATGAAAACCCTAGACCAACCGTTTAAAAGATATGGCCGAGGTTAAAGTTTTTCAAAAGTAGGTCAAACTCCAAAGTCCCGATCAAAGGGTCAAAGTTAGTAAGGTCTTGTCACATGGATTGCATATGTGAAGTATGAAAGCCCTAGCACCAACCATTCAAAAGATATGACCAATGTTAAAGTTTTTCAAAAATAGGTCAAACTCGAAGGTCAAGGTCAAAGGGTCAAAGTTGTTTGTATCCGTAGAAAGGTCTTATCACATGGATTACACATGTGAAGTATGAAAGCCCTAGCATCAACCGTTCAAAAGTTATAGCCAATGTTAAAGTTTTTCAAAAGTAGGTCAATCTCAAAGGTCAAGGTCAAAGAATCAAAGTTGTTGGTATCCAAAGGAAGGTCTTGTCACAAGGATTACACATGTGAAGTATGAAAACCCTAGCACCAACCGTTCAAAAGTTATAGCCAAGGTTAAAGTTGGGAAAAATTTTGGAAACTGGGTCAAACTCCAAGGTCAATGTCAAAAGGTCAATTATGATGGTACCCAAAGAAAGGTATTGTCACAAGGAATACACATGTGAAATATGAAAGCCATAGCTCCAACCAATCAAAAGTTATGAGCAATGTTAAACTTTTTGCGGACAAACAGACAGACTGACGGACAGGGCAAAAAATATATACCCCCGAATCTTCGATACGCGGGCATGAAAAGAGATTGATGATGTTATTTAATAAAAGAACTCATAAAATTTTTAATAGACTTGCATACATGTATATTTGATTTTTTTATGAATAAGAATAATGTAAACTGATATTTACTTCTTTGGGGGGGGGGGGGGGGGGAAGTTACTGTTATGTCTTCCACATCCCCTTCTTCAAAACGTTCTGGAGTCTTTCCATAATCGTTTTCATAGGATACAATAACCATATGCCGTCACTAAATCCCGATTGAAATGAGGTTCATTAGATTTCCCGCGCCCGCGAAATTAGTTCGAAAGCAATATTGTCACGCTTTTCCCCTAGAAATACATGTAGTAGTATATCTATATTGACCGATACCTTTAAATCTCATGCTTAAATCGAAATAAAAGAAAGTGCTCTAAATTATTTAAGAACACACAGTTACAATGAAAAATAAGTG